ATCCTTTTTGAAGCCGTCTTGTCTCCAATGTATTTTAATAAGGGTGTGAAATTTTGGGACATCCTGGAGCTAAATGCTTATGAGTATGCTGAAAACACCCAAATCTATTTTTTGTAGCATTTTCTAGTAACGACGTGGCTCCTTTGATGTATCTCTCTGCAATTGATAAGTGATTGAAAGATCATATTATTTTTAGTTGATACACCAATTTTGTCTCTCCCAAGAAGAGAGACTTAATCTGCAGTTCCTGTACTTGTGGCCTTGGGACTTGGCTACTGCATGGGACTTTCTGTATGGCCTCAGTATTTCAGTCGAAGCAAAACACATCAAACAAGTTGGGCTCGGGAAAAAACTCATATGTGCAGTAAGCTAACTGCACTTTATTGGCTGCCAATGCAAACTACTAGTTATTACTTTTTAATATATTCTATGGCTTATGCTCTGGGCATTTGAGAGAATGTTTCTACCTATATAATTACCCTCACCATCGAGTTCATCAGTAGACATTTGAATGTAGTTATTGCAAGCCCATCTTGCGCTTACTCACAGTTCAGCCTGTAGATAGCTGGCCCAGGTCTCTGGAATGTACTCCCAATTGATTTGAGGAATTCACCTCTTTCTTAACTATGAAAACATGCTTTTTTAAAAAAAACCAGTCCTTTCCCTGTTGTTAAAGATCTAATAGTTGCTTTTTTAGTGTTGATTTTAATATACAGGTAATTCTTGACTTACCACCACAATTGAGATCAGAACTTAGGTTGCTAAGTGAGACATTTGTTATGTGAACTTTGCCCCATTTTATGACCTTTCTTGCCACATTTGTTAAGTGAATCACTGCAGTTGTTAAGTTAGTAGCATGGTTGTTAAGTGATTTCTAGCTCTCCCATTGACTTTGCTTGTCAGAAAGTCATAAAAGGTCAATGGGACATGATCCCACAACATGGCAAAGGTTATAAATATGAGTCCATTGCCCAGCATCTGAATTTTAACCATGTGACCATGATGATGCTGCAATGGTTGTAAGTGTTTTAAAAAATGGTCATAAGTCACTTTTTAAAAGATGTTGTAACTTTGAACAGTCACTAAATGAACTGTTGTAATCAAGGGTTATCTGTATTTGGTTTTAACAGTGGCTTTATGTTTTAGTGCAGGGGCCAGCAAACCTAAACACTCAAAGAGCCATTTGGACCCGTTTCCCACAGAAAAGAAAACACTGGGAAACACAAAGGTCCTAACCGGAAGCCCCCTGTTCAATTCTGTAGCTGACCAGAAGTTCAATTCCCCCACCATAGAGTCTCCTCCTAGCACGG